TAGTTAACTTATTACACTGATTTTTTTTTGTTTACCTAAAATAATATATAAATACGGGGATATGAAATATTGAGTTGAGATTAATGTTTTGAAATCTTACCTGTTTATAAATCCATTATGAACAGTGTACAAAACAATCGTCAGGACAATATGATCACGACAGCAAAATTATAGTAGTATTAATACTAAATTCCTCTGATTTCATTTTCAATACAATCAAAAACTGAGACGCAAGCTGCATTTGAATGAAACGAGAGAGCGCCTCTGCGGTGATACAAGAGGCATGTGGCGAATTCCAGACAGAAGTGAGCATCTCTATGCCCTACGAAGGGCAGAGCCCTTGAAGTGTGTTCTTTGAAGGGTGCAGGGCATTACGGTCTCGTAGAAGCGTGTGAAACTCCCTCCGCGAAGGGAATGACTGACCAGATGTTACCTTGATAACGCTGCGCGTGCGTGCAACATTCAGTACTCCATCAGCTGTTGCAAATAAATATTTATTATTATTAAATGTTTTCAGTGTGTGTATCAGTTCTTTTTGAACGTTTTCATCTAATTTGAACAAAACCATGATAATATTGATAACTGTGATACTTTGGTCACTATAATCGTGATATTTTCATACCGTTACATCCCTAATATATATATATATGTGACCCTGCAGCACAAAAGCAGTGTTAAGTCGCTGGGGGATATTTGTAGCAATAGCCAACAATACATTGTATGGGTCACAATTATACATTTCTCTTTTATGCCAAAAATCATTAGGATATTAAGTAAAGATCATGTTCCATGAAGATATTTTGTAAATGTCCTACCATAAATATATCAAAACTTAATGTTTGATTAGTAATATGCATTGCTAAGAACTTAATTTGCACAACTTTAAAGATGATTTTCTCAATATTTAGATTTTTTTGCACCCTCAGATTCCAGATATTCAAATAGTTGTATCTCAGCCAGATATTGTCCGATCCTAACAAACCATACATCAATGGAAAGCTGATTCATTCAGCTTTCAGATGATCTATACATCTCAATTTCGAGAAATTGACCCTTGTGATTGGTTTTGTGGTCCACGGTCACATATATATGTATAAAATAATAAACAACTCAAACCGCGACAAGTTCAGCGCTGGTGCATGATTTATGCATCATAACCTATCACTTCACAATCATGCACCAGCGCTGAACTTGTCACGGTTTGTGCTGTTTATTAGCTGAGAATCACCTGTGCATTTCACTCTCGTCACCTGTTTCCGTGAATATTCACATCTGCCATCTTTATTGGTAAGACACGAGCTCGGCTCAACCAGATAAACCTCTCTTTTGCTGGAAGCCTGTTTCATTCTCCCGTTTGGTGAAACTCCTTCCTCTGCGTCTGGATTTACAGCAGCGGCGTTCGGCGTCTCGTTTCCAGTCAGATGTCCTGCCGGTCGTCGCAGGAGTCTGATGGAGTCAGACCACACAGTGTTTCTTGAGCCGCAGTCGCTGCTTTAACATCCAGTGTGTTTTACGCTCAGACTCCGCAGCAGATTGAGCAAACGGCTCGTGAAGCGTCTCTGCTGAAATTCAGTGTTATCTGGATGCCTTTACTCATTTACTCCATCAGTAGCTCTTGTCTGGCTGCGTTTAAACAGCCTTAATAACAGGATCAGTTTACTAGAGAAGCAGAATCGCATGAGATGATTAGCCTTGTTTTCAGAGAATATATCTTCAATTATGTATATTTGTTTTACTGTGTTGGTTTGTTACGCAGAAATCTCACTGGGGTTATTTTAGCATCATAGAAATATGTTTTATTTTTGTATTTTTGTAATTTAATTTTAGTAATTGTTTTGTTTATTAGCTGTTTTTATTTCAGTTTTAGTTATTTTAGTACATGAATATATGCACTTCCTTTTTTTTTCTTCAATTTTTATTGATTTATTAAAGTATTAGTTATCAGGTAACATAACCTTAATTCTCACAGAAATGCTATTTCACCAAGGGACAAGAAATTAACTTTAACTAAAGAAATGTTATCTGAAAAACAAGTCTTATTTTCTTGTGAAATTCTGGTTTTAAAATAAATTGATCTCGTTTTAAGGAATTTTATGCATTTTTTACAGGGAAACACGGCAAATAGAACAAGATGATGAAACTATTTTGATATAATTTTCTGTAAAGCTGCTTTGTAACTTGTACTTTTTTACATTTTCAAGAAATACAGAAAGTAATATCATAAAAAATGTATTGTTGTCAAGATCACAGGTGAAATTAAGTGATGGTTTTGAGGAAATGAGACTGTGAAAGCATTCATTAATTTAGCTCTGCAATCTGCAGCTTTTCCCCTCATGTTTCAGAGTTTGTTGTGTTTATGGGTTCATCAGAAGAGAGCGGATGTTTCTATTACTGAAGCTCATGTGTTTGCATCTCACGTGACACAAAACTAATGCTTTCCCTTTTATCTCTCTCTCTCTCTCTCTCTCTCCCTCTCTCTGTCTCTCTCTCTCTGTCTCTCGCAGGAAACTAAGATCGATTGTGTTCGCGTGGCCACTAAAGGTGGGTCTGTGTGAGAGTAATGAAGTGCACTGATTGAAACATGTTCCCTAAAGCTGATTCCAGCTCGTCTGCAGAAACCAGTCACTGCACACTGATCACTCACATACAGTGGGTACGGAAAGTATTCAGACCCCCTTAAATTTTTCACTCTTTGTTATATTGCAGCCATTTGCTAAAATCATTTAAGTTAATTTTTTTTCCTCATTAATGTACACACAGCACCCCATATTGACAGAAAAACACAGAATTGTTGACATTTTTGCAGATTTATTAAAAAAGAAAAACTGAAATATCACATGGTACTAAGTATTCAGACCCTTTGCTGTGACACTCAAATATTTAACTCAGGTGCTGTCCATTTCTTCTGAGCATCCTTGAGATGGTTCTACACCTTCATTTGAGTCCAGCTGTGTGTGATTATACTGATTGGACTTGATTAGAAAAGCCACACACCTGTCTATATAAGACCTTACAGCTCACAGTGCATGTCAGAGCAAATGAGAATCATGAGGTCAAAAGGAACTGCCTGAAGAGCTCAGAGACAGAATTGTGGCAAGGCACAGATCTGGCCAAGGTTACAAAAAAAATTCTGCTGCACTTAAGGTTCCCAAGAGCACAGTGGCCTCCATTCCTTAAATGGAAGACGTTTGGGACAACCAGAACCCTTCCTAGAGCTGGCCGTCCGGCCAAACTGAGCTATCGGGGGAGAAGAGCCTTGGTGAGAGAGGTAAAGAAGAACCCAAAGATCACTGTGGCTGAGCGCCAGAGATGCAGGCGGGAGATGGGAGAAAGTTGTAGAAAGTCAACCATCACTGCAGCCCTCCACCAGTCGGGGCTTTATGGCAGAGTGGCCCGACGGAAGCCTCTCCTCAGTGCAAGACACATGAAAAAACACCTGAAGGACTCCAAGATGGTGAGAAATAAGATTATCTGGTCGGATGAGGCCAAGATAGAACTTTTTGGCCTTAATTCTTATATATATATATATATATTGTGTGTGTGTATATAAATTGTCCTCATTTGTAAGTCGCTTTGAATAAAAGCGTCTGCTAAATGACTAAATGTAATGTAAATGTAATATCTTCACACAATGCAAAAAATCATTACTATTCTTAATGTTCCTAAAAAAGGCATAATTGTCTTAATGCAAAATAAAAAGTACAAAATATATTTTGCATACATTTTTTTTGTTTTCAGCGAAAATAATGGTTTTAGTTTTAATTTATATATCATGGTAATATTTTTTTTAATAACGTTCATTAATCTTATTTAAATGTTATTTCAGTTAAAAAAAACAAAGCAAAAAACTGAATTACAGAAATTTAATATAAGGTAAAATGTTTAATTGTCATGAAAACACAATGAAAAAAATCATTACTATTCTATACTAAAAATAGGTGTAATTTTCTTAATACAAAATAATAAATTAATAAATCTCACTGAATTATTCATAGGTGCATCAGTTAAAAGTCCTTGAACCTCTGATTATCTGAAATCGACGGTAGTTTAATCAGAATGAACAAAACACATTGTCATTCTGTCTCATTGAAAACGCAATCACAAAATGTGACGTTAAAATGCAGAAGACGCCGAGTCTGACGGCTCTGAGGGGAGTCATCTCACGTCGCGACAGATGGAGAATCACTCCGACGGAAACTCGATGGCTTCGCGTACGGCGGTGGTGTTTTTGTGTTTTCTGACCTCTGGTGGACCGTTACGAGACTTTCGGGCCTTTTCTCGCCGCTGTTTGTGATTTAATTGAGCACAGATGGTACATAATCTATTTTCCTGTCTACATGCCACGTCTCTAATGGTGTCAAGCCTGCTCGATGCAAATGAGAGTTTGTGGCTTTACTTTTGCGAATTGTGAACGTGAAGCAGAAAATCCTCTATTGTTTGTCCGAAATGAAAATGCATCGACTAAAATTGGTTTTGCATGAACTATGGTGGCAGTTGCGCTCTATATCCGTCAATCATAACACATACAGACAGGTTTTAAACACTATAGGCCATAAATGTCTCATAAACACATGAAGGGTAGATTTATAGTGTTTTGCACATACATGATGTTAATGCAGTAATTCACTGACCTTCAATGTCCAGCTGTTATTACTCACTGAGCATGTGAATAAAGTCTTTCTGTCTTTCTCAAGCTCTTTTCCAAAGCCCTTGTGAGCCGCTGCTCTATGAAACTGAAATACACGCTCAAAAGTAAGGGTTTGGAACACTACATAGAGATTTGCATTAGTGTGTTGCTAAGCTAGCAATGCAATACTTAAAAAATAAGCATAGAAATGAACAGAAAAGACAAATATTGGGTAAAATAATCTATTTATAATTAGATTAGACTGTATTTTTGGTCTTTAATGAAATATATTTAAAAACAATGTTTCTCTTGACCGTTTGGGCAATTGAGTTTAGATTCTGGCAATGACTTTTCTGCAAAGAATACATAAGACGTTAACTAAAACGATTAATTCTGTTTTGTTAATTGAAATAAAGCCAAAATAAAATACATTAGATAAAAGATCTAATATAAAAGATAATTAGATAAGTCATAATTATAAGATAAAAAGTCAGAATTGAGAAAAGGTCAAATTATGAGATAAAAGTCATAATTACAAGAAATAAGTCAAAATTATGAGATAAAAAGTAATAATTGAGAAAAATCTAAATTATGTGATAAAAATTCATAATTATGAGATAAATGTGAGAAAAGGATCCAAATTATGGCATTAATAATTATGAGATAAAATGTCATAATCGTGAAAAGCCAAATTATGATATAAACGGTCATAAATATGAGATAAAATGCATACATGTGAGAAAAGGGTCAAAATTATGACGTACTAAGATATAATTATGAGATTTTAAAAAGTCAGTTATGACATACCAAGTCATAATTATGAGAAAAAAGTTTGTTTTTATGATTACATTTAGACATTTAGCAGATGCTTTTATCCACAGCGACTTACAAACGAGAACAATAGAAGCAATCAAAACCAACAAGAGAGCAATGATATGCAAGTGCTGTAACAAGTCTCAGTTAGCTTAATGCAGTACATGCAAAATATAAAAAGAAAACAGAAAATCTGAACTCAAATAAGCTTAAGTTGATGCGTTAAAATTACTAACTGTAAATAAATAAAAAATAAACCTAAAAAGCAACATAATAGGTAATAAAAATGACAAGAAATGTCAGCAGAATGAGTTGTAAAGTGAAGTGCTGTCTGTGTCGGCGGCTCACGAGCGTCTGTCTGTCTGTCTCTCTGCTCTGCATTAATAACCTTACAGATGTAACGATGCCTCAGCATGTCTCTCTCTCTCTCTCTCTCTCTCTCTCTGTGCATGTTTGGCTGGATCTCTTCTCTTGTTCTAGCTGCCATTATTGTGACTCAGCTCACCACGCCGTATGTGCGTATCGCACCCGCTGCCGGCGACAGCCAACTAACAGGTCAGAACTTCCACCATCCACCTCGCTCTCTCTCTCTGTGTGTGTGTGTGTGTCTGTGTGTGTGTGTCTCTGTGTGTGTCTCTGTGTGTGTCTCTGTGTGTGTCTCTGTGTGTGTCTCTGTGTGTGTCTCTGTGTGTGTCTCTGTGTGTGTCTCTGTGTGTGTCTCTGTGTGTGTCTCTGTGTGTGTCTCTGTGTGTGTCTCTGTGTGTGTCTCTGTGTGTGTCTCTGTGTGTGTCTCTGTGTGTGTCTCTGTGTGTGTCTCTGTGTGTGTCTCTGTGTGTGTCTCTGTGTGTGTCTCTGTGTGTGTCTCTGTGTGTGTCTCTGTGTGTGTCTCTGTGTGTGTCTCTGTGTGTGTCTCTGTGTGTGTCTCTGTGTGTGTCTCTGTGTGTGTCTCTGTGTGTGTCTCTGTGTGTGTCTCTGTGTGTGTCTCTGTGTGTGTGTGTCTGTGTGTGTGTGTCTCTGTGTGTGTGTGTGTGTGTGTGTTAAACCATGCCTGTTTACTGTTTCCTGGCCATGTCCAGATCATATTTCACTCCAAAATTTAAAAAAAAAGGAAAGAAATTATATCATTATATTTATTATTTCATATTTATATTTATGTAATTTAATATTTTTCGATTTTTATTGTTGCATTTTACATAAATATTTTGCATTTTCCACAAATTTTCATTACGGTAATGTGAATTTTTTATGAGTATTAAGTTTTATTGTTATATTTGCATAAAATGTAGCATTTTATTATTATTGTTATTAAAATAATGTGAAAATAACAATATTACGTTTTTCAATTGGTTTATACATCATGGTAGTATTTGTTATGCTGCCCTATATGTATTCAGATTTTTTTTAATCATCGTTTGTTAATGATTTAATGAGAGTAATAAAAAATTGTTGACAAGAAATTGACTAAAATAAATAAATAAATAAACAAGCTAACAAACAAAAAAACTCAAACGTAAAATATCTAGATGCGTTAGTAAAAAATGGTTAATTTTCTTGAAAATAATGTCACAATAAAAAAATAAACAAGCATAAAAATATTTAATATTTACTTATGCTAAATATATTTTTCACATTTTTAATTGTAATTTTTAGGGTGAAATGTGAGCTAGATTTTTGTGTTTTTTTTTATGTAGTGCCATATGCTATATTTCAGTATTTCTTCCATGTGTATTAGTGTAACCCGTGACTGTTGTGTAAAGCAGTGTTTGTTGATTCATTTTAGTCCTGAATGGATGCAGGTTGAAAAGGTAATTGAGGATTTTCAGGGTTACCGTCCGTCTGATGAGCTTCATTTGATCCCTGCTGTTTGCTTCCCGTAGAAGGTCACTTTCCATTAGCTGAATCTGTACGCTGAATACACGCATTTACTGTGGAAAATAAACGCTGGAGCAGGAGTCACTAAATTAGCTGCTTTTTATTCAGCGCCGATGTCCGTCGAAGGAATCAATATGACCCCGGCAAACCCGAAACCAAAGACTGCAGCATTTGCAATGCATGACCACCACATCCCTCCAGAAAATTACATTTCAATATTTACTGTTTGTTGAACGGTCCCAGGTGACGCTCTCGTTCTACAGACGACCGGTACAGAGAAAATTGGCTTGTTTTTAATTAAGCCTTATATAAACACATCTTCGGATCACTCGCCCCTTTAGCCCGTTACTGGATCGTTGTGCACGATCATGGATTCAGTGCAGCATTTAATTCTGTTCCTCTAAATGTTTGCATGTTTGTTTGTGAGCGAGACATCTGATTCGTTTATGCCATATTCGTCGTCCTCTTCGACCCCTCGCCGCAGCCTGCGGCCCGTCTTCAAACACTCTCTCTCGCCTCCATCCAGACTGAAGAAACTCAGACTCCAGAATGCAAATGAGCATCATGACAATAACAAAAGCCTAGAGAGATGTATGCACTTATGCTAATAATTGTACTCACTATCTTTTTTCGTTTTCGGTCCAGAACTCTTGCGTTTTCATGATTTGCAGAATAAGGCGACAACATTTATCTTGAAGTCGATATTGTTTCCATACAGTGGTTTTGTATGGAAGCTTGTTTCTGCCACATGAGAGAAAAATCATGCATTTGGTAAATCATAATTATGAGGCCGAAGAGTAAAAATTATGAAATGACAATTAAGTCATGATTATGAGATAAGTCATAATTTTTGTATTAGAAGTAACAATTATGAGATAAAGTTTAAATTAGATTGTTTTAAGTTCACTTAAATTAGAAGTTATTTTTTAAAAGTCTAGTAAATGTTCAAATTGATAGCTCTCAATTATACTGTAATGCTGAATGGCTAGTCAATGGTTAAATATGGGGGGGGGCAATTTTATAGAGACATCAGTAGTATTGGTATCAGTGATACTGGCACTCAGTCATAAAAAAAAAGATGCCTTTAAAAATATACTGTCTTTGTTGTTTGTACGTTAATTTGAAGATTTAATGTGAAATTATTGCAATATAAAAGTATATTTAAAAACTTTACTGTTAATGGTTTTTAATGCCATAATAGTATAATCATTTTATAATTATTATAGTCATAATTTTGACTTTTTATCTCATAATTTTTTTGTCTTATGTGGCAGAAATGGGCTTCCATAGTTTAGTGAGTATCTGCTGGGAAGCAGTTATGTTGTTGTTTGTTGGGAATCACCTGCGGCAGAACAGAAACTCGAACCCAAACGCAGAACATCTGTCACCATGGTAACGGCAGCCCATAGACCCAGCTGATGGATGTTGTCAGGCCTTGATTGAAAAAGCGTAGCTGGCAGGAGGAACCGATCCGTGGCCCGGCTCAAATGAGCGTCCCGCCCGCACTATTTTTCATCCTCTTCTCATTTAATGCTGGAAATTGATATTTCATCGAGCACACGGTCGACATGCATCACATTATACAGTAAACAGGCAGACGCGCTCGCTCTGTTTCTCTCTGACCTCTCTATTCCTCCTCAGTGCCGCAACTAAAGCCGCTTTTAGTCCATTTAAATGGCAAACAGAGGAGAGCGATATCGCTCAGATGGTGCTCTTTATGACTTATAGTGTTCAGTTGTGTTTAACTAAAGTGTTAACTTTGTCTCAGATGTTTTTCTTACAATTGAAAAAGAAATGGAGAAAAAAGCTGAGATAAGAAGTCCTAATTGTGACCAAAAATTTTAATAATGGCATAAATTGGCAAAATATTTATATTATATAAAATTATTGTATAAAAATGTCATAATTATGACTATTTATACAATAATTCTGATATATTATGCCATAATTGTGACTTTTTTTGTTGTTGTAACAATTAGGACTTTTTATCACAGCTTTATTTATCATTAGCAATTTTAGAAAAAACGTTTAACATAACTCTTAATTTCTATATTTAGACTTTTTACATCGTAATTGTGACGAAATAAGTTGTAATTATGAAAAAAAGTCTAAATATGGCATAAAAAAATTGATAATTGAAATAAAAAGTAAATTAACTTTCTTAGTCTAAATTCCCAAAATTGTTATTGAGAAATAGCTGAGATAAAAATGTGAATCGTTGTGAATTGACTTTTTATAAAATATTTTATGATAAATATTATTTATCATCATATTTAATAATTTTTGACATTTTCTTATGACGTACAAGTCTAAATATGGCTTAAAAGTCTGAATAAATATGGCATAAAAATGATGAGATAAAAAGTTGACATTGAACTAAAATGTCGAAATTATGATATAAAAACTTGTAACTGACAAAAAGTAATATTATGAAATAAAGTCACAATTAATTACATAAAAAGTCTAAACATGGCATAAAAAGTACAAATTGTAAGCATTCCTTTGTCTCTTCCTAAAACTGCTTAAAAGCTGAGATCATTATATCTTTGGTGTATGTGGTGCGAAATGTTATATTGAGATCTCTGATTGCATACTTTAGTGTTTTGTCTGATCTGAGCACAGTTTGAGGCATCTTCTCAAAACTCCAGAGGAGACACGCGTGAGATTCAGGAGTCTCCGTGTTATCTCATTGCTGTCTAGGAGAAACAGCTGAGGTTTTAATGAGATATCAGTTGTGTTTGCTTCTTTTCTGCAAGCAAAGCTAGTATAATCAACGATCAACCGAGCATCTGCTAATACTAACCTGTTTTATTAACAAAAAGCACAATCATATAAAGCTTATTTCACTCGTTTCCTGCTAGCATTGTTTTGTCAGTATTGATAATGTGCTGAATATCTGTACGTCACATGTTCCAGGTGCCGCGACCCGGAAGCCTGATGCCGTGGAACCCGAGAAACAGACGGATCACACGGTGAAGATCGCCGGCGTCATCGCTGGCATCCTGCTCTTCGTCATCATCTTCCTCGGCGTGGTGCTGGTCATGAAGAAGCGGTAAGAGAGCTTCACTTCTGTTCAACAATATTTAATCCGATTAACATGAAATTGTGTTTAAAGCTGAAGTGTGTCATTAAGCACCACTGCACTCGCACCATCTGTCAGTCAAATAGATAGCCTCGCCCCCAGACTCACGTCATTGGCTGAGAATGTTTGGAAGCATCACAGTGTTGATTCAAAGGGCCAATGACTCGCTAATAAAGACTCTGAACATTAAGATACATTAAGATCACTTTCAAGCAATAATTATGCTGTAAAAAGTCGTAATAATGAGATGCAAAATCGAAATTATGACATGAATAGTCAAAAATAAGCAGTACTTGTTAATATGACAAAAAGTAAAATTCATAAGCTTAAAGTCATAATTGTAACATGTCATCGCTGGCATCCTGCTCTTCGTCATCATCTTCCTCGGCGTGGTGCTGGTCATGAAGAAGCGGTAAGAGAGCTTCACTTCTGTTCAACAATATTTAATCCGATTAACATGAAATTGTGTTTAAAGCTGAAGTGTGTCATTAAGCACCACTGCACTCGCACCATCTGTCAGTCAAATAGATAGCCTCGCCCCCAGACTCACGTCATTGGCTGAGAATGTTTGGAAGCATCACAGTGTTGATTCAAAGGGCCAATGACTCGCTAATAAAGACTCTGAACATTAAGATACATTAAGATCACTTTCAAGCAATAATTATGCTGTAAAAAGTCGTAATAATGAGATGCAAATTCTAAATTATGACATGAATAGTCAAAAATAAGCAGTACTTGTTAATATGACAAAAAGTAAAATTCATAAGCTTAAAGTCATAATTGTAACAAGTATCAATTATGAGATAAAATGTCATAATGAAAAGTGTCATAATGTCATGACATGAAAAGTCAAAAATGTGACGTACTAAGTATAAAAAGTCATAATTATGAAATTTTGACATGAACATTAAAATGTATAAGATTAAGTAATAATTTTGACAACGTATAAATTATGGAATAAAGTCATAATTGTGACAAATGAGATAAAAGAAATCAAAATGGTCATGAAAAGACATAAATGAGATAAGTCAAAATTGACATACTAAGCAATAATTGAGATAAAAAGTTTAAATTATGACAAAAATAGAAATTAGATAAAAGTTGTAATAAAGAGATAAAGTCATAATAGTGACATAAGTATAAATTATTAAATAAAAAGTCAATTGTGACAAATGAGGTAGAAAGTCAAAATTATGTCATGAAAAGTCAAAAATATGAGATGAGTCAAATAATGAGACAAAAAGAAATTGACATGAATTTGAAAATGTGAGAAAAGTCAAAATTGACACTACACTGAAAAAAAATGATACTTTTTTTTTTTAAGGTAAGTGGTTGCAAACCATTTATTTTAGCTACATTTAAAAAAAAATTTCAAGTTAGTCAACTAAATTTGTTTAATTAAATGTAGCTCAAATAAATTGATTGCAACCACTTACCTTAAAAAAATAGTAAATTCAATTAATCATTTTTTTCCAGTCTAAGCAGTAATTGAGATAAAGTATGATGACATTATGAGATGTAAAGTCATAATTGTGATATAATTATGAGACAAAAATGTGACGTTAATTTATGGAACACTGCACTCCCACCGTGTGTCAATCAAACAGGTAGCCCCGCCCCCAAACTCACGTCATTGGTCGAGAATGTTTTGAAAGTGTCAAACTGCCATTGATTCACTTACAGTGACTATGAACATTAAAATACGAGACCGTATTTGAACGTGGGATAAAATGACGCACTTCAGCTTCAGAGAGCTGTTTAGAGCGTTTAGAAGTCTTCCCGGGTCATGGTACCGTCCGGTGCGCCCATGAACACATGAAAGTCAAATGAATCAATGCTGATTTTCTGTTATGGCCCCTTTTGTCAACTGAACACAGAATAATTTATTTGATCGCTCTGATAAGCACCATTACACGGTTTGTGGCACCAATGCATGCTGCCTGATGAAATATTAATTTTTTTCTCCCCGCGCCGCTCTCAAACAAACGGCAGCGCTTTCTTTAATGACCCGGCGACGGGAAGTAGCACAAATATTTTCCAAGCTTATCTTGTGCAGAAAAGAGCGAAATAAAAGCAAGATAAGAGAGAAAAATTGATGAAAGGCGCTTTTTTTCCCCAAAGAGTTTACAGTAGATCCGTCCTGAGCTGGAGTAAAAGCCCTTGTTCAGACAGCCGACTCCAGTTCTGCTTTAGATTCAGAGCGTGCTTTCAGTGGTTTCAGATGTAAATTAAAGGCTGGGCCAAGTAAATATGTTTTTAATGAGAGTCATTACCTTCTCAGAATAAGGGTATTTGTCTCTATTGATTTTGCTGTTGAGCCTCAAAATGGCCAAACATTTGAAAAGGGATGCCTTCATTTTGCTGACGAGGCGATTTCCGTCAGATCGTTTGTATGTGTCGCCCGGGCCGTTTTTAGCATAACGACCTTGCATCGCATGTTAAATCTCAGCATAATTTGATGAGATCCATATCCACTGACATCAGTAATTGAGTCAGGACTGAGTTCACTACAACTAATAAACTTAGAGCGCTAGAACTGCTTTTGCAGCTCGCGTTTGTTGCAGAATTCAAAACCTGAGCCCAAACTCACCAATCCTGCCTGTAAAGAGAGCTAATCACCTGTTTCTGTCCTGTCCTCTCTCTCTCTCTTCACCCTGTACTAGACCTTTGATGCCAATGAAAATGAAGCTGTGAGAGATTGAAGTGCGGTCTCATTAATGAAACACAAGCTGAATGAATTAGTGTAAATTGTTCTTGCATAAATGATTGCGTTCGTTTCAGTGCAAGCTTTTTTGTGTGAGAATGTTTGCGCAGAATTACTTCTGCTTGCGTTTCATGAATGAGGTCTAGTATTGATCATCATGTGTTACACACACACACACACACACACACACACACACACGTGATCTCATTAGATAGAAGTTGGATTAAATGCTTCAAACATGTACAAACGTCATTAGATACAAAATGTCAATTATTTTAAATGCAATCAAAAGTTTTTTTGGTTTGACATGATTGTCATTGTTCATGTTTATAGATATTTGAGACACTTGATCTGATGAAGGACGTTTACACATTTATAATTCGTATAGTTACATGTAACTTGTATAAATACATGTGGAATATTTGTATCACTTACAGTAAGGTCCCATTAGTTAACTTTATATTTAAATTTGTTACAGTATCTTAACAGATACATATTTTGATTTTAATAATGTGCATTGAAAAAAAAAATGTTGTAGAAACAATTTTAACTCCAAAATTGTTAGTTAGTCAAATAATAACTAAAATGGCAAGTAACACATTGAATTAAACATGAAGTTTAAAGAAGAAAAACTAATATATGTTTTCTAGTAAAACATGCTTCAATAATCCATATTATTTTCCATAACTTCAAAAAATATTTTTTTACAGTATATTAGTAAATGTTGAATTTAACATTAATTAGTTAATTGGATAGTTAATTTTGAGATGTTATTCTTGGATTAAAGACTAAATCTGAATGTCATTCATTAGATCCAAAATATCAAAAACAAGTGTCATTTATTTAAAATTACACTAAAATATAAGTTTATGCTCATGCATCTTTATTTTTTTTTATAAAAAAAACATTTACAACTTCAAAAATGTGTTTTTTACAGTGTATTAGTAATCGTTTAAATTAACTAAGATTAATATTTTTTTTCATTGTTCGTTCTTGATAATAGTTAATGTGAACAAATGGAACCTTACTGTAAAATGTTTCCCACTTAGTAAAGTTTGGTGCTGCTGCGGCATGAATTAGTGTAGTTTATTTTTAGAGGACTCCGCTTACAAATATGAGATTAAATCTGGTTTCTACACGTCAAGGGATTTCTTCAGGGCTTCAGACGTGACATTCATGGAGGAATGTGTTTGTGTGCGGATTCAGAGCCTCAGCCAGGATTAGAATAAGAGCGGCGCAGATCTGGAGTCTGTTGATCAAATCCCCCGATATGGCAAAGATCTCCTGCATTTATAACTCTCACTATATTTGGACACAGATACTGCAGCGTATTCCTCTCTGACTGAACACTCACTTACATTATCATCCGTCTGGTCTTGCGCAAAATCTGTCAGTTTACATTTACATTCATGCATTTTACAGACGCTTTTATCCCGAGTGACTTACCTAAAGAATAACAGTAAGGAAACAACATATTTACCCAGGAAAAGTCTGTTTTCAGATGCAATGCGAGGAAGTCTTTGAAGAGTTTTTGTCCTAAGCCGGAGTAGGATTTTGATTCATCCTAGTGAGTCTTTTGAATTTGTTCACAAAAAAGATTCATCACTGATTTGCTCAACAAGAGTTCATTATGATGCTCAAACACTATGTAAGTCTCTTAGATGGATCTTAATAAGGCATATTAAGACTTATTCTGTGAACAGAACATCAGTTTACATCAGGTTTGTTTCTGATGCTGTCAATGTTGTTTTTGGAGGTTACATTAAAAAAATGCAGTTAGCTCAAAAAGCTAACATCAGTTTACATCAGGTTTGTTTCTGATGCTGTCAATGTTGTTTTTGGAGGTTACATTAAAAAAATGCAGTTAGCTCAAAAAGCTAAGGGCACAGGACAGGCGCTGTTTGACCTAATTCTGGATATTTGCAGCCTTAGATGTGTGATTAATTCATATCTAAAGCCGTGTCTACACCAAGAGAACCCATTATAATCAGTTGATGTGGTGACTGTCCACACGGGAAGTGGCGCGAGGCGACAAATCTTCTACAGTAACTGATGCCGCCTCCTATTCCGAATCTTGGAAACATGCGTTGTATGCGTTGAAAGTGAAACCTAAAAAAAACAGCATGCATAAGAAAGCGATTGCAAATGCACTCGATCACAGATCGCATGCTTCCCAGCCGAAACAACCCCCCACGTGAAACTGAAATAATATCCCGTGATATAAGATTTTTGGCCATATCGCCCATCTAAATCATTCATCCCACACTATC